AAAAAAAAAAAAAAAAAAAAAAAAAAAAAAAAAAAAAAAAAAAACAAGTTGAGCCACATTTATTCTGTTCAAATACTTTAACATTACAGTTCATGGCCAGAGATGGGGCTTGTTCTGGACAGAACCTTGATTATACTTCAGTCTGGCCCACCTTTAATGCTCAGGTTTCTGAAGTTTAATAGTTTACTACAGGAAAAAAGATTTTCGGAGCGTGAGAGTTTTATACTGCCCCAAGCTTAAAGCTATCCAAGAAATAAAACATCTAAACATGTAGGATCTCACACATGAAATTAAACTGACTAGGGGTGATTGGGAACAGCTCAGGGGAGAGGTCATGAATCACAGCTGTAGCATTATGCTTCTTTGTCTAATGTGAGATTTTGAATTGTCAAGTGCAAGTAAATTACTTTATTTCACAGGGATGTTACACCCAAAAATGGCCTTAAAGTATTTTTCTCTCCAGAAAATTATAAAGATCATTCCCTGGCTCCAAGTTTAAAAGAACTCTATATTTTGTCTAACAGGTAATGTTCATTTGGTTATTTTCACATTTCATTGCTGTTTTTCTGGGAGATGAAGTTTTATGACTATTTTAGTAAATATTTAAATTATAAAATGTGAAAAATAGAAAGATACTGATAACATTTTGATATTTACCTTTCTCCATTACACACAACATGAGATCATAGCTGTAATTATCTCCGAACACCATAAAACTTTATAATTTAGTTTTATCATTAAAACTCAGTGTTCTGTATTTATTTCCATTCATACATACAGTATTTCTCTTTAATCTTAACTAATAGTTTCATATTCTTTATATGTGTACTTTTAATTCCTATAGCAAGTCCTATGTGGGTTTGTTTTTTTTTTTTTTAATTTTGCAATTATTTCTGTATGGTAAAGTCATACAAATTTAGTCAGACTGTGTGTATATTTTTGATTTTAATAGATGGTACCAAATACCAATTCATCAAAAGAATTTTTGTCTTCTGTGGTATAAAAATGCCTAGTCAGCAATAATGTTCCATTATTCCTGCTTACATGCGTGTAGCAGCTCCTTTTCCTCTTTTAATTGACTGTGTCTGTTGTGTTGTGGGTTACTCTGGAGACCAGAGATGTGGGACTAGGAAGCCCCTCCAAAGGAGTTTTTTTCTGCTGCGGCCCTGTTAGCTTTCACAGGGAAGAACGTTATCCTACTTGCTCTTCCAGCTTCATTTTCTCTTGCTTCCAGTCATTTTGATCAACATTTGAAAATACCACATTTCTTTTTTAAATAATCTTCTCCACGTTCCTTTCTGTCACCTCTGCTTCCATTTGACTTGCACTACTTTAGAGGTGTGTATGTGCTGACATGAAGTGAGGATAAGCAATTTATAAGGCGTATAGAAGGCATTAACACAACAGTGGTGGTCCTTCCACAGCAATAATTAAGTATAGGTAGGTAAGACTTCTCATTGAAAAGGCAAATCAGCGGGTGAATTAAAAAACGGGAAAAAGTTGCTTTCTGAAGCTTTTCCTCTTGCATTATCAGTGAGCTTTTGACTGTGGAGCTCTTCCACTCAGCTTTCTTTCCAGTCTTCTGGTTTTTATAGTGGTTCTCAGATTCTTTCACCATCTTCATCGTCATGTTTTTCACCATGCCTGACCATTAGACATACTTTCAAGCTTTAAGAAGTACTGATTTTGTACTCTCAACCTAATCTGTTGAATCCAGACCACTGAGAATCAAGGATGTTTCTAGGGACTTGACTTAGTTTAATGTCTGTTTGTGTGTCTTGTACTACACACCTCAAAATACTTCCAGATAATAGGAGTTATAGTAGTATGCATTATTGTACTTCTATCTAGATAACAAATTTTTAGTTAAAGCATATTTGTGCTTTTATTTTGGTAGATATTGCCAGATTGCTATGTAAAACATTAAAATAAGTCTTTGTTAATATCTTTGGTAGTGTAAGCTTTAGAAAATTAAAATTCATAGATGTATACATCTATGGATTTTTCTAAAAACTGTTACTGTTATTCATTCCTGGAGATAACTAATTTCATAAAACTTCCCAATCATTTAATACCTTTGATTATTTAAATCAAATAATGTTTATCAACATCCTTTCCCTTTTATCTGAAATGTTCTTAAGGTCAAAGGAGAAATAGTCCAGGGTTGGTCTGGTGATATGTTCAAACTATGGCCCCAGAGAGTTGCCAAGGGCCTGAAGTCACTTGACATCCCAGGTTATTGCCTGCAAAATTTCAAGGGAAGTGGCTAGTGCCAGGAAAGTGCTGAGTCAGCACAGTGTCCAGAAATGCTACACCAGAACATTCGCAAGTGACTCCACAAAAAGTGCCTAAGGAGTCAGCAGAAATGCTTAGTGGTGGCCCAGCAAAAGTCCAAGTAATTCAGTGTACTGGCGAGTTAAATGTCCTTTTGATATAGATTAATTTTGGAAGACGAAACCTCAATTGAGAAAATACCCCCACCAGATTGACCTATGGGCAGCCATAATTTTCTTGATTGATGATTGATGTGGGAGAGCCCAGCTCAACTGTGGGCTGTGTTACCCCTGAGACTGTAATCCTAGGTGCTCTAAGAAGGTAGAATGAACAAGTCATGAGGAGCAAGCCAGTAAGCAGCAGTCCTCCATGGTCTCTGCATCAGCTTCTGCCTCCAGGTTCCTGCCCTTTCTGAGTTCCTGCTTTGAGTGAGTTCCTGCCTCAGTGATGAACTGTGATATGAAACTGTAAGCTTGAAATAAACCCTTTCCTCCTCAAGTTGCCTTTGGTCATGGTGTTTTATCACAGCTATAGAAACCTTACATAAGACAGCTCACTAAAATGCTGAATGGTGGCTCAGTAAAACCCCAAGGGTGATGTGACAAAAGCGTTCTGTGACAACTCAGAAATTCCAGCTGGTGAATCTGGAAAAAATTGCCCAAAGGTAGCTTAACAAAGCTTCCAAAAGATTTCTCAGCAAAATTGTTCAATAATAATTCAGCAAGACTACTAGATGGAGATTCAACAAAAATCTCGAACAATGACTCCACAAAAATACCCAATAATTCAGCAAGCCACCACTTAGTTACTTAAACAGAACACTAAGTCATGAACCAGCAATAATACAAATGATAACTCAGCCTGACATCTAACAATGACTCTGCCACCTGGCACAACCCTGAGATGACTCCACCATACCCAACAATGAGCACAGCACCCTGTCATGACATGTACTGTTAGTAGAGGAAAGCGGGAGCAATTACGTATACAGTCGTTGGCTTTATTTTCCTGAAGAAAAAAAATTCCCACAGCCCAGAATCTGTAACAAAAATTTTGAAAAAGGATTGACACCAGTCTCCTTAATGACAGTTATTTAAACCTGTGAACAACACAAGGATCTCTGACAAACTTGAGATTCAATTAGCTGACTGAGTCTCAGGAAGATCTATCTCTACACACAAGTGCTCAGGTTAGAACAAATGGACGGGGTGATGCCTGAGAACAGCTGAAACAGTGACCCACAATCTGGGCAAATACCCACACAATCACATTAATGGGTGGTTGATTTCAAAACAAATCAGTATCTCACCCATCAGCACCTGCTTTGGGGCCACAGACAGCAGTGTTACTCTGGGTCTGCACTAAGTCACTCCTGTCACACTGTAGGAAAAGTTAACTACTCATTCTAACAGCTAAGTCATGATGATGTAGATGACACCTCAGTGTGGTGGTCATCTTGGGTTCCCAAGTTAGAGGAACAGGAATGAAAGAATGTGAGAACTAGAAGGCACCTTGTTCTAGTCCTCACTCTCTTAGTAGTTGGGCAAGGCTAAGTCTGGACAAGCCTTTGAAAGAGTAGAAACTTATTAAAAAATCACAGCACTTAGGGAAGAACACTGTTGTAGAGAAAAAAATTTCAAACATACAGCAGAATTAGAACTTTGGCAGGGACTACCATTTTACACAATTCTTGGATTCTGTGAATTCACTTATCTGTTTGTCTGTCTTTAACCCTCTTCTGTGTCATTACACCTTGCTTGGATGCCTTTCAAAGAGCTGCTAACATTGTACTCCTTCTATTAAAGTAGCATAGTGTTTTATTTTTTCATTTTTCATCTATTCGTGTAATATCTCAATTTATATACATTATGGTATTAGGAAAAGCTAAACAAAAAAATCTCTGGACCCATACATGTAAATTGACATTTTCTCTCTCCAAGGCTCTTGAGGATTTTTTTTAATGTATGTGGGCATTTTGCCATATCTGTGCACATGTATGTACAATGCCAATAGATGCCAAAAGAAAATATCAAATCCCCTGGAACTGGAGTTAACAGTTGTGAGCTACTATGTGGCGTTTAGAAACGAACCTGGGTCTTTTACAATAGTAGCCAGTGCTCTTAACCAGTGAGCCATCTGTCTGGTCCCTTTTAGGATCCATAAGGGCAGACCGGGCAATGGCATAGCCCCCAGGGAACACAGGCCTCTGTGCTGCACGGGCTCTTTCAGGATCATGCTTTCATTCCAAATGTTGGAAGCTTCTTTCAGGAATGAACTCAAGTAGCTGCAAGGAGTACCTGTTTCTTGTAAGGAGAGAGGTTTTGAAAAACTCTCTGATCTCCCTCTTTCCTAGCACCTTTCCTAAACCCTTTAGTTTTGATTTGGGGGCTACCCCCCCTTTTGTTAATGTTTTAGTTTCACATACAAAAAAAATGGGTTCCATCATTGGCATCTTCATCCATACATTGTATTATACTGTGTTCTCATTTATTCCCTCTTCCATGCTTTCCCTACTCCCTAGGCTGTTTCCCTTTCTCCTCCAAGATAACCCTTTGCTTTCTTACTGCATGTAACCTGTTATTTTCTGGATTCCCACCTACCTTACAAATCTCTTCCTCTCCTTATGATCCACTTCCAAATTAAGTTCAACACAAATATATAAAGTTTTAAATGTAAGGTTATCATTTGTTTTTCTTAGTCTGACTTATTTGACTTAACAGAATAATTTCTAGTTACATTTATGTTCTTATAGATATTCTGGTTTCTTTTTTACAACTATAAAATTCCATTGGAATTTTTGTCTTAGCCTTCATTTCAGATAAAAATTTCTAACTATCTTTTTTTTTTTTCTTTTTGAGACAAGATCTCGTTATGTAGCTCTGGCTAGCCAGAGCTCACTGATCCATCTAACCTCATCTTTCTGCATCCATGAGTTCTAGGACTGCAGGCGTGGCCACCATGCCTGGCTTTAATATTAATCTTCATTCTACCATGCTTCTTACTTTAATGGTTCTTTGTAAGGATAGTTTTGTTAGGCATTTCTTAGGCATGAGTTATATAAAGGAGAGGAATTTTTCTGCCAGTTAGCCTTATTAAAAAAAAACTTCTAAAATATTTTTCTTAGAATATGCTTTCCTGTCTTTAGATTATTTTAATACAGCACAGTTTATTAGTGTAATTTGCATTTTAATGTAAAAGATAAGCACAAAGCATTGATACGTGTTTCTAAACTTTTTGTTATAAGGAACTGGTTTTGCGCTTCAGTTATTTAGAACTTTACTTGTTGGAAAAATAACATTTTTTTATTTATAATATAGTAATTTTTGTGTTCTCTAGCATGTTGGAGAAATACCTTTAATTGGGTTGATTTCAAGACTGTGACATTTTTAATTGCCCCATCGCATCACCAAAAGGCGTTTTACTCTTAATTTCAGCATAAAAAGCATTAACCAAACTCTTGCACTCCATACATGTTTGTAAGATGAAAGGACCACCAGAATAGTGTGACGTTAGAAGTCAGTGTGAATGAAACAGAAAGTCAAAATGGCATGTTTTCTTTCAAGAGATATCCATGTAGAAATAAACACCTGCCTTTATTTAAAATTAAGCATTTAGTTATAGATCTTTATAATTGATTTTTAAGCCAACAAGTTACTGAATAGTTCTGAATAAGATGAGGAGAAATAGTTGCTGTAACCTGATTAATATAAGAGAAAGCTAAACTCTAAGATTCAAGTAGACTTTGAGGTGGAGCCCAGAAATACCATTTCTAAATGTAGTTTTTAAAGAAACTGCCAAACTAGTCGGCTTAGTGTCTAGCAAACTAACAGTTTGGAACATTCCTTTATTTCATAGGAACTTGAAGTAGAAAGGAAAATGGTAGTTGACAAAATGAAGGAGGAAGCTTCAAATTCTCAACTGAAATAAAATGCACTGGTGTAAAGTATGTAGGTAGTGCTGCTGGGTGCTGTGGCTGCACCTGATGAAGATTTGACAGCACTGCACTTGAAAATGATCTTGATGTGCTGCCATTCCATTCTTCGCTGCATGTAGCCAATTTAAACTGCTCGAATGTCTGACATTCCTACTCGGGCATATCTGAGTCAGCATCTTGTTGCTGCAGCAGCTTAATTAAATTTGCCAGTTTGTGCCAGGAGGACAGACATGTTCTCATATTCAGAGAGACAGCTGTGAAGCAGTATTGTTAAGAGTTGCGGACACAATACTGTTAGGTTTGAATAGCTCTCAAGACATATTCTAGTGAGAAATCAATTTGCTGTAATACATTTCTACCAAGATCAGCAGTTAATATTCATTTTGTTAACCTAAAATGAGCTTATTTTTTATACAGCTATCGGAGAAACTTAGAGCTAAGTATTTGTTCTCTTGCCTGTATTTCTGGAGTCAACCTAAGGATTCCAGTTTTAATTTCCAAAATTCTTTCCCATTAACTAATTAGCTATTTGTTGAGTTTTCCATTCATAGTTTATCTCTGAGTGTTTTAAAATGATTTTGCTTTATTTGAAGGAGGAAGGTTCTTACCCTTTTCTAAAATACTATTTTCAGACTTTGGAATTTATACCATATTTATTTTAGTTTTATAAATTAATAGTTCCTAACCGTATCAATAAGACCCAAACCTTTGTACTTTTTTATAGCAACTATTTTGTAAGAACTAATGTACTTCCTTCATTAGCCCAAACTGAGATTGATAGCTAGTAGCTAGTTACCAGAAACATAACTTTTAAAAATAGCTTGTTTTAAATATGTAATGTGAGATAAAAGGAGAGCAATACCTACCCTGCATTGTGTAGTGCATCTGTGCATAGACATTCCTACAACAGAAGATGCGATGTTTGGGAAGATTGTCCATTTATAGTGGGTGTGACATGGATACAGCCTATAAGAAGCCTCTGATTCAGTTCTCAGAACCAAATCCTAAAATGAACAAGACTGTATTTAAGAGAAGCAGAAAAAAAATATACTAAGCCATAATCATAGAAAAAAAAAGTGGTATCAAAGTAATAGCAAGTCAGAATTGTTTTTAATGTTAGAAATAAAAGGACCTTTAGAAGTTGTGTGAAAGTGTCATATATTCTAAGCATCCAGTATTTCTCCAGATTATGACCAACCTTTCACACTGGTGACGAATTAGATGTTCCCACTGACTTAAAGAAATGAATGCCATAAGAAAAGCAACACTGTCATGATTGCAGCCATTGTCCCCTTCCTTCTCCTTCCTTCTTAATCCATGCTCTCCAGATCATTCTTCTCAGCCAGCTATTTGGTAAATTTAGTTTGGAAACCTAATATCATTATGATACTGCATATAAATATACATATGCATATATTACATATATATTTTCTTCTTTCATATGGATGTGGTTTTCTTTCATTCATTTGTCAAGCCACTGGTTTAAGATCCTGACAATCAAAGATTGTACTATAATCTGCTCTTGGACATAGCATGTGCTAGCAAGTATAAATATCAGTGATTATTAGTAAATGGATCGATAGACATCCATCTTTACCATTAGTTTCCTTTCCTTTATGAATTATTGTTTAGTTGGAGCCAAGTTAAAGAAACAATGACTGTGGTAGAAATCAGAGTTCTTAGAGACCAAGGAAGTGGAGTTTTTTTTTTATTCTCTTACTGAAATTGTAGACTAGTCTCTTACTGAATAGCAAAGATAGAAACAATTTATGAACAAGATAATAATTTATGGTTGTATGTTTTACTAGAAATAGTAAAGTGACTCTTAATTGGAGATGTCATTTTATAAACAAGTCTAATATCAGGCTCTCAGGCTGCTACCACTTGTTGCCTTCTCTTTGAGTACGCCTCCTTATAGATACGCTGTGATTTTTCTTTCGCATCCATAAAAAGCATAGAGGCATTTCCATGGAGTTAGCCATATACTTGATAGATAGAGGATTGTCTAGTTTTTCTAAAATCACTACTGCTTCCATAAAATGTAACACAGTTTTTGGAATTTTATTTTTAAGTTCTAAGATAACCAATGGAAACCAGAAAGTTTAGAATCTCAGTGAATTAATTAACCTCAAGTGTGTGACCCCATTTTATTCTGTTCTTAATGCTCTTTGTTCACCATTTTAGCTGATACACCTACTGAAGAACCTAAGCATTAAAAGCCAAATAGCATTGCAATAAGTAAATGTTAGTATAATTCACAAGAATGATTTTCCCTTTTAATAAAAGGGGAAAGTTCCAAGTAGAATAGCTGGTTGAAGTGTGCCTCTCCCTCTCTGTCAGGTGGCTGAAGGTAAGCCTGCAATGAGGTCTTTTCATGCAGAATACTTAATTTACACTAAATGACTGAACATCAAAATGCAGGTGGCAGAGTTAGATAATAATCCAGAAGTTACTGTTAATCATGCCATATTATTCTCCCTTTTGATTGAGAATCATAAGTTCCATGATAGTAATCTTCATGTGAAAAGCACATATTTGTAAATTGTATTTTTTTTCCAGACGTATAGGAGAAAATTTGAATGTCTCAGCAAGTTCTGTAGAAAATGAGCCTGCAGTTAGTTCAGCAACTCAAGCAAAGGAAAAAGTTGGGATGATTCTCCTTCCGAAACCAAGAGTTCCTTATCCTCGTTTCTCTCGGTTCTCACAGAGAGAGCAGAGGGCTTATGTGGATTTGTTGGCTAAATATGCAAAGATCCCCTCAAGTTCCAAAGCTGTTGGGACAAATACAAATGAATTCCTACAGTATTTGGTATGTATTCTATTCATCAGTTACAGAAAAGAATCAGAAAATAATTCCACTTTCTATTTCCTTTCATTTTTCTTTGCCATTGTTAATTTGTTAGTCATCTCTCTTATTATTAGGTATACTCATATTTATAGAAATGGGAAAGTAAGGACTTTGAAGTGTAGGCACTTTAAGCCTTCTGTTGATTTTATTGTGTGTAGTTCTGGCACCTGCTCTGCTGTGTATCGGCCTTACTCCAGTTCATCTTATATCCCAGCAAGAGCACCTTCACAAGCTTACTGTGGTCAATTTGAGTACATTTCGTTCATTTATCTTTTTACAGAAATGATAGTTTGCTGAATATCTTTCTAACAAAATCTTTGTCCCTGTGATTATTTCTTTAAAATAGATTCTTTAAATAAATCTTTTTTAAAATAAAATTTTAAGATCAAATGCTACGTGTTTTTAAAGCTTTGGTCTGTAGTTACAGATGGATAAATTATTTTTTGAAAGGTTTGAATTATTTGTTTATACTACTATAAGAGGTTTGAATGCACCTTCACCAACACTAGACATTGTTCTCTCATTTTTGGTCCTTCTTGCATATGAGAAAATGGCTGATTTCTTGTTTTATCTGAATAAATATATTGAATACCAGTGAAAACAAACATTTTCCATGTATCTATAAATCATTGTTTTTTTTTTCTTATTGTTTTGTTTCAAAACAGTGATGTACATATCCCAGGTTGTCTGCAATCATCGGTAGCCAGGGGCGACAGAACAACTAGTCCTGTACCACCTCCAAAGCAACAAGTTGTGGGAGTGTACCACCACACCCAGCAACAAGCACTTATAGCTCTATGACTCTCCTAGCCATACACTTTGCTCATTTCTCCCTTAAGAGGCTTATCTTTTCAGAAAATAGAAAGCAGAATTTCCTATATGTATATTGTAATTTTGCACCAGTTCCCATGGTGTAATGGTTAATGTTCTGGAATCTGAATCCAGCGATCCACATTTGTATCTCGGTGGAACCTGTTCCTTGAGGAAGCAACCTGGTCAGTCATTTTATCAACTACGACCATGAAACCCTATACAAACAGGCTGCCCAGATATGCTCCAGCATCGCTGGGGACACGCTTCACTTTCTCCTCATGTTGTAATTTTGTTCATTTGTTTTTCTATTTCTGTGGAGTTTCTGTGTTGTTGTTGTTGTTGTTTTTTCTTTTCAAGACAAGATTTCCTGGTCTCTAACTCACAGAGTTCCGCCTGCTTCTGCTTCCCAAGTGCCTCTGTGGAATTTTTAATGGGTTTGGTGTGTATGTGTGTGTGCATGTGATGCTTGGGGTTGAACCTATATATTTACTCAAGTATATTAGTGAACTGTCTTCACACACACCACAGAGGGAATCAGATCCCATTACAGATAGTTGTGAACCTCCATGTGGTTGCTCAGAATTGAGCTCAGGACCTATGGAAGAATAGCAGTGCCCTTAACCACTGAGCCATTTCTTTAGCCCCCTTCCTTAGAGTTTTTAATAACAAGTTTATCATTATTATTTGGTGATTTGAAAATAATTTTCTTTGTGGTTTCCACTCTGGATTTGATGTTCTATTCTTTGAAGTTCAAATTATTAGGGCAACTATTGAGGAGTAAATACTTTTAGTGAAACTTTTTTTTAAAGATGTGTACTTTTTTTTCTTTAAGGATATGAAAAAACATGTGAATGAAGAAGTTAATGAGTTCCTAAAGTTTCTGCAGAATTCTGCAAAGAAATGTGCACAGGATTATAATATGCTGTCTGAGGAGGCCCGTCTCTTCACAGAGGTAAAGATCACATTTACATAAACCGCTGAGCAGTAAATAAGTGTGGCCTCTCTAAAGTGTGTGAAGAAGACCCCGCAGCTTAGGGAACCATCAGCTTTAGCAGTTTAGTCACACGGAGGCCAGTGCACTACTTAGTGTGTGAAATAGTAGAACTCATGACAGCTCGGAATATTGAGGTGGGCACTGCAGTCCATATTGGAGGTAGCTTCTGAGGAAACCATTTGTTTGGACAGAGCTAGGTGACGCAGGGCTACAGAGCTTTAATGTGTTACTCAAAACTGTTCACTGTTTAGAATTTAGGAATTTCTTGTTTCTGGAATTTTCTCAGCGGTCTTTTCATTGTTTGGTAGCAGGGAACAGAAACTGAAAGTTGCGCTGCGGGTGAAGGCGCACTGTCATACTTCAGATTACAGTATGCACTGCGGCCCTGTAAACACTTCAGGGGTTCCTTTCTTTTCTTGAGCAAGTGCTGAGTTAAATGAATGCAGTTGCGAGCACTGTAACGTCCGGCACAGTTTCACTAAGATTTGCTGATAGGTAACCACAGTGTACCTTACCACTTGGTGCTTGCTTATTAGTTCCCTTTGTCTGTTGAATTCTTACAGTGCCCACGACAGGACGGGGACATCATAAGTGTGTGCTCACTGGAACTACTGACAGGGAGGAAAGAGACTGCACCAATAAGTATAGTTCACTGAGAATTTTAAAGCAACTTTTCTGTTCCAGCCCACACCTGCAGTAGTTAAGAGTGACATCCTGAATAGCAGTAAGATGCATAGGTGGAAGAAAAACATGTTAAACACAGCAGGGTGTATATACTAGGAAAAGAGGAACAGGGGATATGGAATTATAAGCTGTGGCTCTGCCACTAAAGGCACTAGCACCGAGCCTGACTATCTGATTTCCATCCTAAGGATCCCATCACGTCGTAGAAGGAGAGAGCTTACTCCTCCAAGTTCTCTCTCCTATCACCTGCCTCTCTTTCCCCTCCTTCACACACATAAATAAATTAATACATAAATAAATAATAAAGGTGTACTGAGCTACCTATTGATTTGTAACTTGAAGCATTTTATAACTATTTGGAAGGAGGGGTTATAGATAGAAAGTTGGAGCTTCTGTGATCTAAAATACATATTAGCTGGTAGTGATGGTACATGCCTTTAATCCCAGCACTTGGGAGGCAGAAACAGGCAGCTCTCTGATCTCTGAGTTCCAGGCCAACCTGATGTACATAGTGACTTCCAGTCCAGCCTGAACTACACAATGAGAGCCTGCCTGAAAAAGAAAATATTTCCTACAGGGTTTAGGCACCATGCACTAACAAAAGATGATAGATAGCCTTAGACGACAGCACATGTGTGTACTTTTAAAATTATCAAAACTTCCCCCAGTGATGGCTCTGTTCCTTTGAGATACGTGTTATCACAAATGTATGATTTTTCTTGGGTAAAGCTGTGAAGATATCCTTCCCAGCTATATTTCCTGGTAAGTCAATATTTTGGAAACTGGAGAAGACATTTAAGAACTTAAGTCTTTTTTTTTTTTTCTTCAGAGCAGGTTGTCATGTAGCCCAGGCTGATCTTGAATCATTGGCCCTCCTGCCTCTACCTCTCAAATGGAACTATAGACATGTTCATATGCACCCAGCCCCAGCTTCATGTGTTTCTTTTTTTGTAATAGATTTTGTGCAAAAATTTTCATGTGGCTTCATTTCTTTTGTCAGTTTCCTAAGAAGCATAGAAAATACCTTGTCTCCTCTATTTAATTTTAAATTTTAATAAGATCACTAATTTTAGTATTATTAAATACCACTATTTTAGGAAATTAGGTTAAAATTTGTTATGAAAACTAAGAGATTAAATCAAGTAGGAAATGCACAGAATTGTGGATTATTAGAAGAAATAATGAGTGAAATGGATTCCACTTTGCAACTAATAAGTTTATAGTTACATAAACCAAAGCATATTTGTTAGCGAAGTATAACACAAATGAGTAATTCTTATTTTCTATTTAACAGCAACTTCTAAGAGCTTGCATTGAACAAGTGAAAAAGTACCCAGAATTTTATACTCTCCATGAAGTCACCAGCCTAATGGGATTCTTTCCTTTCAAAACAGAGATGGGGCTGAAGTTAGAAAAGACTCTTCTTGTTTTGGTAAGGTTTATTCTGTGGATGTGAAGTGGGTCCTGGGGGACTTTGACTAGAAACATCATTTATGTCTTTTATTAGACACTGTGTTTAAACTTTTGAGATACATGATGCATGTGTAATACCTCATGTTTTTAAAATACTGCTACTAATTTTGTTTCTTGACTTTTTTTCTTCCCACTTTTCTTAATACTTCTCAAATAAAACAGGGAATTCCATTTAAAGAAAATTTATTAACATATTTAAGAAATAAGTATATAGAAAGTATATTTTAGCACTTCCCTTCTTCTGTGTTGTGATTTATGCTTCATTAAAAAACAAAAGGTGAAACTACAAAAGTAGCAGGAAGATTCCAGAAGACTCTGAACCTTTTTAGAAACAATAGCAGTAACAAAATCATTGTTCTTGGTTGTCAAGAAATACCACGAAAGAATGTCTTAGGAGGTTCTAAGACTGACATTTGAAATTTCAGTTACGTTTCCAATGTTACAATAAAAATACATTAAGACTTTTACAATAACTTTATTTTCCACTTATTTAGGGCAGTGCAAAGTTTGTAAAAACATCATTTCCCTCGATGCCTGTGAAGTTACAGCTTTCAAAAGATGGCATATCTTCCATTGAGACCCCACAGCAGCAAGCTGAAGCTATGCACTACGTAAGTCACAAGTGACTTTCCTAAAAAGTTAAAATAATCCTAATAATTGTACTGCATAAAAGATGTGTGGCCTGGTTGTTCTAACATCGTTTCTGTGATGTTCCCATCTCCTCATCACTTTGTGGTGGGAATGTTGTGAGTGACCTAGATAATAAGATGTGCATTGTTTTGTTTATTATGAGCCATAAATCACAATACAGAACACAATTGTTTTTCAGGATATTAGTAAAGACCCGAATGCAGAGAAGCTTGTTTCAAGATACCATCCGCAGATAGCTCTGACTAGCCAGGCATTATTCACCTTGCTCAATAACCATGGACCGAGCTACAAGGAACAGTGGGAAATCCCAGTGTGTGTTCAGATGATAACTGTGGAAGGTTTGTGATTTGGTGTGCCAAGTAATGTCCTCAGAAGGGTTGGAATTACCTCATTTCAGCTGTGCAGACGTAGATGGCTGTGTGCCGCACACAGATCTCCATCTTTGTTTAAGGAGAATAAGAATCTGACATTAAATCAGTAGAGCTTTCCCTGCTCTAAAGTTGTGATAGAACTGACTGCCCAGACCTATGGTACCTGCAGTTATGTTAAGAAATAAGACAGAGGAGAAATTTTTACTCGGGTGGCCAGAAATCTATGGAAGCTGTGCAGCTTCTGTTTGTCAGTGATATGAAGGAATGCCTCACTCTCTTAGACAGTTTGCAGGGAGCAGATTTCCAGGAATTCGTTGTTTATTGTTGGGGACCAGATTTAAAGTATGTTGACAGAGGATAGCTTTTGTCACCAGTAAATTAATGTTTGCACATTAATTCTTCTACTAGTCTGGTTCATATTTGACCATTTTTATCCTCCAGAATAATATTAAACATAAGGATATAAATGAAAGATTGAATCTTCATTTATAAAGATAAAACAGTACCATAGTGGCATTTCATTTCTATTTTAATAAATAAAGCTTACCTGAGGATCAGGGAGTAAAACAGCCCTTACAGACAGACAGTGATAACACACACCTTTAATCCCAGTAGCCACACTAGTTGCCATAGAAACTGGCCCAGTGCGTGCTTTTAATCCCAGCTTTAGAGAGGAATATAAAATGGGAGGAGACAGCTCTCAAACTTAGTCTCATTTTGAAGTTCCTGGAGGCAGAATTGCCATTTTCAGACTGAGGTCCGAGAGCCAGTGGCTGGCCGCTTTGCTTTTCAAATCTTCAGGTTGAACCCCAATTTCCCTCTCTGAGGTTTTATTAATCATGCTTCACAGTACTACAAGTTAAGGGTTAAGTGTGATCTCTTGTAAAAGTATAAATGCGCTTTGCAAATTTCTAAAGGAACAAAGAAATTAAATTAAGATACTAACGATACAGCTCTAAAGCCCAGAAGCCTTTAAACATTGTTAGAGCACATTTCTCCTGCTGGCCGGGTTCTCTTGTCCTTTAGTACTAAGGGGCTTTTATTTTTTATTTTTAAAAGAGATATGTATTACAAGAAAGGCAGATGCAGGGGGCATGGCCCCACTGCCCTATCTTGTCTCTGTTTTGTGATCTTTCTGCCACATATCCTTTTTCCTTTTTTTTTTAATAAAACTACCAGATACTAATCACCACTTGCTTTCTCTTTCTGTTTTAAGGTTCCAAACCAGTTAAAGTAATTTATATTAATTCACCACTTCCCCGAAAGCAAATGACAATGAGAGAAAGAAATCAACTCTTCCATGAAGTTCCATTAAAACATGTACTATCAAAAAACACATCTGTCCCAGTCTCTGCAGTCTTTATGGACAAACCAGAAGAGTGCACCTCTGAGATGGATGTATGTAATACTTTTTCTCCTTTGCTTATGATATACTTGTTTACCCTTTGGAGCATAAACTTATATTGCAAATCTCTAAACTTCATAGTTAAAACAGTCCTTAATATACATGTATTGAAACAGTATATGATAAATGCTTAACTCCCCAGTTTTTATGTCTCACTTAACAATTTTTAAAGATTTATATTTAGTCATATATAGGTTTTGTGCCTGCATGTGTGAGTACGGGTGTGCTTAGAGGCCAGAGACGTCAAATCTGGAGCTTTCATGAGCCACCTGATATGAGTGCTAAGAACTGAACCTGGGCCCTCCTGAAGAGAGCAGCAAGGGCTCTTAGCTATTGAACCATCTCTAGCCCCCTTACCAAAAATAAAATTTAAAAATCAGGACAGTGATCTGAGTATACACTTTCTGAAACAAACATAAACAGCTGACATATATATATGAAAAAATGTTCACAATCACTAATTGTCATGGAAATGCAAATTAAAACCGTAAGGAACCAAGGAGATGGCTCAGTCTGTAAAGGGCTTTCTGTAGAAGCATGAGGATCTAGGTTCAGGTCCCTAGCACTTACATAAAAAGCAGGTACAACTGGGCATGCCTGTAGACCCATGGAAAGAACATGTAGATCTTTGGAGGCCATCAGCCAACCAGCCTAGCTGAACAATGAGTTTTAGGTTCAGAGTGAGTCTTTGTCTCACAAAAAACAAGATAGAGAATGACTGAGGAAGAAGTGACCTCAACTTTTGACTGCCACACACCCACACATATACACACAAACACCACATTGAGGTATCATCTCTTAGTAAGAATGGAAATAACACAAAGGATAAATGACAAGTGCTAGCCAAGCATGTGACTCATATTGTGAACCCTAATACTTGGAAAGCTAAGGCAGACTTGTGAGACCAATTTCAGATTTTACAAGTAACAGATTAAAAAGGCAAATACTGAGGAGGGTGTGGAACACTTGTTAAGAATGCAGATTAGCTCAGCCACTACAGAAAGCAGTGGGGAAGTTCCTTAAAAATAAGACTGCCATGTGTTCCAGCAACTGCCCAGTAAAGCATGTACTTCAAAGAAAATAACAAACCAGAGCACTTAGACCCTTGTGTTTCTATATTGATTGCAACAGTGTGCACAGTATCCCAGCTATGGAATCAGCTTCAGTGCCCGTTAATGGGCAACTGGATCATGGAAATGAGGTATATAAATACTAGTATACCTTTTTAAAGAGCGGTTATTGTACTGTCATTAGCAACAGTATGGATCTACCTGAAGACCAGAATGTTAAATGAAATAAGCCAGGCACAGAACATGTGATTTTTTTACCTTATAATATAACATCTGAAAGGTATACTAATAGAAGTGGACAGCAGAGCAGTGGTCCCAGAAGCCAAAGAGGGCAGTGGGAAAGGCTGAAAAGAGATGAATTAACAGGTAGAGTCACAGTGAGACAAGTGAGGATTGGTGTGGTTCTGTAACACAAGGAAACAATGGTAGTTAACAGTACTATGTAATTCAAAACATACAGGACATTAGAGTGACAGGCATGACTTAAATATCAGTTTTAATGATGTGTACTTAAAGATAATTTTTCTATAATTATTAAAGTTAAACATTTTGTTTGTGGAAAATAATTTATTCAACAAATATTGACTGTAGATTCTGTTCTGTGTGCTGAGGATGGATAAGTAAGAATGCAGTTTGGGTTCTTTCAGCATTTACAGTGTAGTAGATAACTCAAACTGAATGTCTAGTAGCAGAAGCAGCAGGTACTGATAAATGTGGAGAAAACCAGGATATGTTAAGAAATAGAGAAATGGACAGAAATGGGGCCATTTTATATTCAGGACCAAAAAAAACCTGAGGATAGTAAATATGATCAGAGATTTTTAGTTAAGTAAGAAATCAAACTGTTTTAAATAACATAAAAATATTCTCCCACCCTTAAGAACTTATGCCATTTTAAGGCTGTTGGTGTTTTTATTTTTATTTATTTTTTATTTTTTTGTTTTTTTTCAAGACATGGTTTCTCTGTAGCTTTGGAGCCTGTCTTGGAGCTAAGCTAGCTCTTGTAGACCAGGCTGGTCTCGAACTCACAGAGATCCGCCTGTCTCTGCCTCCCGAGTGCTGGGATTAAAGGCGTGTGCCACCACCGCCCGGCTGTTTTTATTTTTATATGTTCTTTTTTCTGTTTGCCATTTGAGCTTTGATATTTTTATGTTGTATCACAAAGCACTTCCAGCTTGTCTTATGTTTTATTCTTTTACATTTTTATTTTGGATTGTGTACTGGGGACAGGTGCATATCAGGAGATGAGAAGTGCCACAAAGAAACAAAGTAGGTTAAGAAGAATAAAAAGTCACAGAATGGCTTTGGTAATGATGAACCTTTTCATTACTGATGACACCTAAAAATTATTGCTGGATAAAATATAAAAACTTATTTCTTACTGTCATGGGGGGCTTATAAGATAATAAAGATTTTCAAAGCTGAGATATAGAGGAATGCAGAAGTCTAGGAGGCAGGTCACCATTTAGGTTCATTTGTGCTTTTTGTGCTATTTACCAGTTCTGAAGAGAACCAAAAAAGCCTGTATTTTGACAGTATCACAGGATGAGGGAAGCAAGGCAGAGTTCAGTTTCCCAGCAAGGCCTTTTACCCATAGAGTTGTGAGTAAGGGTTATATAGAAGGAACCCATTTCCTCAGAGGTTTTCAGCCTAACTTCCTCAGCCCTTGTTTGGAGTTGTGAGATAATTGGTGTCTCCTAAGACAGGAATGATCCTGAGGGGAAAGTGGTGTCTGTTGAGCCCCAGATTGTGATACTAATTATCATTAATGTTTATTCTAGTTTTTGTTGCTTAATTATTCTGAAATTCTCAGCTCCTTCTTTTAACCCAATAGGTTTGGATGTGTTTTTATTTTCTGAGTGCTTGAATTTGTTGTTTAAAGCTTCCTTAATAATTTCTAATTTTATTTACCTTTTAACTAGAGTAGGACCTTAGCAAATTTTGCTTTGCACAATGTTGAAATTTTACTAACTTATAATCCATTTTAGAATGGCCTCTTGGGTTCTCTGAGGAAGATAGTATACATAGAATTTATAGGTTATATATTTCAGTCCTTCTGTCTGTTTCTATCAATATTATTCATCCTTCCTGTATATGTATCTATTTAGAGATAGTACCATTGAGGAGGCATGGCGATGTTTTTGTCACATATGTGTATTTTCCTCCTTTTTCTCTTACCCTGAACTCTGCTAACATTGCCTCTGTTACTCTTTATTTCTCGGTACTATGTCCAGTCCTGTTTTAACCTTGCTGTGTAGGATTGCCCTCCTGTTGGTGCCATATAGTCTCCCTTTGTTCTGGATTTGTTCATTTAATTAGAGCTGCCATGTGTTGAGGAGGCTGCGTACTGTGTGCCAGGCACCATGTCAAGAAAATCCTTGTATATATTTCACATTTGATCTTTAGAACAAATCCAGAAAGTAACCTTATTATTCTTGTTTTAGAAATACGGGATGTGAGGTTCAGAGAAATCAGGTAATTTCTGTAAACCAATCTTATTGTTTATTGCTGCCAGACATACTGTCACAAATCCTACCCCAAAGTCTTAGCTCATAGTCAAGTTTTCATGGCATTTATGAAGGTAAAAAGTGTTCACTCTGCTAGGGCTGGAAGTACAGCTTAGTGGTAGAGTACTTGCCTACCATGCAAATAGTTCCAGGTTCAGTCTTAAGTACCACAAACAGTAAAAGGAAGAGCTGTATAGGGTATGGCATACCTGTAATCCCAGCATATATGGAGGCAGGAAGTTTAGGACTTCAGGGCCAGCCTCTGATCTATAAGAAATACAAGGCTTGGACAATGTGTGGACCTGCTTGGGGGGAAAAAACTAAAATTAATTAATTTTAAAAATGAGGGCTCTTTCATATTGAGGAGAGATCTTTGGTTCTTGACGCGAGGGTAGACTATTCTTGAATAGTTGAAAGCTATTTGTAGTTCTTCTGTTGCCAGAATAGTACATAAAGACTACAACTTCAGTGACTTCATGTCCCAGAATACTAAGAGCTACTTCTTGTCCATTATAGTATGTTACTCGGTGTTTACCTTGAGTGGATTTTAAGAGAGTCGCTGATTGATATTAGGAGACTCTTGCTTAACACCAGTGAAGAAACTGTCCTCCTGGTCAGCTAAGATCAAGGCTTTCCCATAATTTATGAATTGGGCATGCTTGAACCTCTCTTGCTGTTGGACTCTCCATCTCTTCTTGAGGGTCTTGTCTGTTTTCTTGTTTGTTAATATTCCTCTTTGGGTCTGGCATTTCGGAATTCAGTTTCCTGTGCTATTCTACCTTGACAGATGTGTCTATATGAATATTTTCAAGGGGTAACAGAATTAAATACTTAAATGTAAGTTGTATACATTTTAAAGACTTTTCTGTTTGTGTGAACGTTTATATGGAGGGGGGCGGGACATATAAGTGTGTGTGCACGCATGTAGAGGCCAGAGGTTAACACAGATTATCTTTATCACTCTCTACCATTGTTTTTGAGATTCAGTCTCTCACTGACCCTGAGACTTAACTTTTTCAGTTAGACTGACTGCTAGAAAGTCCCTGGGATCTTCCTCTGCTGTTGTCCCGTCCCCTCCCATAACACTAGAATTGCTAGCACACATCACCATGTCTGGCTTTTACTTGTATACTGGAGATCCAGACTCGGGTCATGTGCTTCCATACAAATCCTTTTACTCATTGAGCCATCTTCCTAGTTCCATCTTTCTGCTTCTGAAAACATGAACTGCAATGTTAGGGATAAGGGCACTAAGAGTTAGGTAACTGTGGCCTGAACTTTTCCCTAATAATTTGCTAATATATTTTCTTCCAAGATACCCACTGAAGCTAATGAGTGCCGAAAAATTGAGACACTGGAAAATATGGATCTAGATTTTGATGATGATGTCACAGAACTTGAAACCTTTGGAGTAACTACCACTAATTCATCCAGGTCACCAAGTTCAGAAAGTGACTCCTCTGTACCCATCTTGACAGATGTCTACACAGCCCCCAAAGTAGCAGCTGCTCCTGTGGTACCAGCTACACCTGAGGTACCAGCTTCACCAAACATTACTGAGGATTCTAGAAGTTTATGTCAGATGCTGATGAAACAATTACAGAAGGAGAAACAGCTGTTCTCTGGTGTGGAAAGTGGTCCTGAAGGGTGCAAAAATAAAGATGATCAGGGACTGGAATCATGTCCTGAAGAGGTTCCCAGTGCCAGTGCGAAATCTTTAGTACAAGACAATGAATTTCACAAAACATCTGATGGAATCTCTAAGGAAAGTGATGTAGGTATGCTTTATACCAATGATAAAAGACCGAGTGTTCAGGGGAACCCTGACAATGCCAACAGAACAGCTACTGCATCAGAAACAGCTGAAACTGAGACAGGGATTTCTTGTGGTAGTGATACAGATGAAGACTGTTTAATCATTGATACAGAGAGTAAAAGTAATAGTGACGGAAAGACAGCTGATGTGGGTTCTAGACCAGCAAGTCCAAATTCTTCAGCACAGGCTTCTGTGGGAAAACAGACTACTACTGTGGTTTCTGAAGAGTCTTGTGTTTTAAAGAAACCTATCAAAAGAGTGTATAAAAAATTTGATCCAGTTGGAGAAATTCTAAAAATGCAGGATGAGCTTTTAAAGCCAGTTTCTAAGAAAATGCCTGAGTTGCCCTTGATTAATTCAGAAGAATCTAAACAACCATCTGCTTCTGAGCAACCCTCTGCTACTTCAGATGCCTCCAGCTGGCCAAAATCCAGTTGGCCTTCTGCGTTTCAGAAGCCTAAAGGACGTAAGTGAATATCAAGAACTTACCAGTTTCTCTATTCCTTTTCCTTAGCTTTTTCTCTTCATTCATGCAATTATAACACATTTTGTAATTTTTACCTAGTCACTGACATTTCATTTCCGTCTGTTGATCAGAGTTTCTGCTTCCACTGTGTCCTCTTTGTATATCTACCCAATTTGTATGTGTGTTATAACCTGTTTACCCAGTATGTACATGGAATGGCTACTGCTCTGATGGAGGGAGTCATAAACGTTGGCCTGTCCAGACTTCTGTGCCCTGTGTAGTAGACTGCAGAATGCGTGTGACAGTGCCCCTCAGTCTGCCTGGCTTAAGAATATCAGGACCTTTTAAGTTCTTTCTTCTCACTGCTTATCACTCTGATGCATGCTTTGCCCAGTGCTCATGGAAGTATTTGTGAAAAGTAAGAGAACTTTAAAATTCTGGTTGCAGCTCTCTGCTGCAATGTCAGTAAGTAAATATGGCCTGAGGTGGAGAATTGACAGTCACATAGAGTTATTGAGTTTTTGTATCCCAGATTACAATGCATAAAAAAGTAGCATATTTTTAAATGGTAATGAGGAATGTTTTTAAAAGGATTGCCATATGAACTTCAAGACTATGTTGAAGATACATCAGAATATATAGCTCCTCAAGAAGGAAATTTTGTGTATAAGTTGTTCAGCATGCAAGACCTGTTGTTACTTGTGCGGTGCAGTGTCCAGAGGATAGAGACAAGACCACGTTCCAAAAAACGGAAGAAGATCAGAAGAGTAAGTTATCTGAGAAGTTGTGATGTGTGAGTGATAATCCCAAATACTGAACATGGCATTCTGACAAAATTTGACTTTAACTTTTTGATCACGCATATAGTTTTTCCAAGTAAACTTCTTTTAGTAAGATATTGAAATCAATTTTAATAAGAATCACACACCATTGTCATAAATGTTGGTAACCACCATGACTAATCCATATGAACTCTCGGAAAAATACCATGTAGATTGACTTGACTAAACTAACCTTTATAGCCTGTGTATATGTGACTTTGCATTTCCTTGTTACCTGTGAGCCCTTTCTTTACTCTGAGGTCTTTCTCAACGTCGTTAGAAACAACCCTTAAAAGAGTCCCAGAGTTTCAGGGTGCTAGGGTGCCAGCCTCTGCTATCTTTCTCCTGTGGCTTCTCTTGAGGAACGATTCTCTTCAGTGAAAGAAGCAAATGATTGTTAGTTTTCCCAGTGCCCCTTCTGTGACCGAGCTTCTCTTTTAGAACACTTGGCACTCTTTCATGTGATTCTAGATACTGGTAGATAAAGGGAAGCTTTTGATTTAGTTGATTGCTAAGAAGTGCTGACTTTTGTCTTTTATTGTATTTTTAAAATAATTCTTTTTTTTTTAAAACGTCTATTTAGAGAGAGAGAGAGAGAGAGAGAGAGAGTGTGTGTGTGTGTTGTGGTTGTGTGTGTGTGTATGTGTGGTGTGCAGTCAATCTTGCATGTACATGTGCATGAACATACTTGTATGCATGGAGTTATGGAAGTCAGAGGACAACTTTTGGAAACTGAATCTCTCCTTCTACCATGTGGGTTCCTAGGATGGAGCTCGGGTCATAGGGCTTGGTGGGAAGCACCTGGCCTGTGGAACCATTTTACCAGGCCAACAGAACTTCTTTTTTTTTTTTTTTTAATATTTATTTATTTAATATACAATATTCTGTCTGTGTGTATGTCTGCAGGCCAGACGAGAGTACCAGACCTCATTCCAGATGGTTGTGAGCCACCATGTGGTTGCCGGGAATTGAACTCAGGACCTTTGGAAGAGCAGGCAATGCTCTTAACCACTGAGCCATCTCTCCAGCCCCCCAACAGAACTTATTAAATTGTGTTCTTTTCTTTTTTTATTATTTTATGTGCCTGCGTGGTTTCACTGCATGCATGTCTGGGCACCACTTTTGTATCTACATATGCCAGAAGAGTGAGTTGGGTACCTTGGAACTGGAGTTAGACATTTGTGAGGCATCATGTGTGTGCTGGGAATCAAACCAGACCTTCTGAAAGAGCAGCCAGAGTGCTCTTAACTACTGAACCATCCATCTCTCCAGCCCCATTTTGTTGTTGTTTTGCTTTATTTTTAAGTTTTATTTTTGTACTTATTTCTGCTCTCATTTTTTGTAGTCAGCTTCATTTCTTTCATATGCCACCCTGTGAATCCATACCACTTTTTCTTTTCATTTATATACTCAAAAATAATTGATGTTAGTAGCCCAGGGAAGTTTTGGGCACCAGTGTAATTCTTGACCAAGACAACTTGGTAAGGATCATTATCATTTACTCAAAAAGGGAAATTTATAGAGGCCAAGCTATAACCATCTAGAAGAAAATTATTCATCAAGATGTCAAAACAGTTGAGCCCCAAAGAATATCTAAATAGAAGTCTTATATTTCTGACTGTCAAGATTTAAACTTGAAAATTTTTCAAGGAGTGCTTGTCCCTTCCATCTGCTGTTCATTATGTGTGGTGGTTTAGTGCACATGGTATAATTCATATACTATAACGTATGCCCCTTGGAATTAAGCCCAGTGTTTCTCTTTTTCTTAAATGTTGGTACCCCAGAAACTCAGTACATAAGTGAGAAGATGTGAGAGGTTGGGAGACTAAGGCGTCTTTGTAAGGAACTTTAGAGGGAAGTTAGTATCCACACTAGTTTAAAAAACAACAACAAACACTGTCTTTTCAGATGTGTCCTTGGAGTTTTTCCTCCAGCTAATTCAAAGTTTTCAGGTTTGCAACTTTAGCTCCCGGTGTTTAAGAATATTGTCTTTGATTTTTCCTTAACTCTTCAGTTTTGTGTTGTTGTTGAAAATCTTACTTCTTCAAGCAGAATTCTGCTTAATAATAATTATAGCACTTTGGAGACTGAGGCAGGAGTATTATCAGAAGTTGAGGCCAGCTGCTCTACATAGTAAGTTCCAGGCCAGCCTGGGCTTCAGAGTAAGCCCCTGTCTCCCCAGAAAAAACACACCAAAGCTGCTTATTAGAAGAGAAAATAGCAGCCAGTTTGAGAGAGCAGAAGGGAAGAGTTGATGTGGACCAAGACAGAACTGGAGCGTACCAGTTCATCCACGCCAGCTAACCACTGGATGGCTATTTGCTCTTGACTGTCCCAGCTAACCACATATCCCAAGTAGTGCATTTTAAAGTGGTTAACAGTTTTACATCCAGTTACCCAAATCTTACATTGGCATTGAAGGTAGATTTGTGTGTGTGTGTGTGTGTGTGTGTTTAAGCTGCTTAAAGGTGCACTGTGTCAGGTAGACTAGAAGTTGCTCAGTGGTACTGAGAAGACTCTAGCCAGGAACTGTTTGTTTAGGAAAGTGTTTTAGGGTTTAAGAGGTGAGTGCACACAGAAATAAGAGCACCTTTCATTTGAGCAGCACAGACTAGAGCACCCTTTGGGGGCTGAGACACTTATATCACAAATCTTGATTGTGATTTACACTTCTGTTGTTGAAACTGAGGAGTGAGAAAACATTGAGGCCCTTCCCATGGCTTCCTGGAGATGGCAGTAGAATACATACAGAAATAAGGTCAGATTTAATACTTAGTTTTATATGGATGAAAAGCACATTCCCCTCAAAAAAAAAAAAGAAAAGAAATAAAACCTCAAACTATCTGTATCTTGAAGTATATTTTCCATACATAGATAACACTGTAATCCATTTAAGATCCCGAAAGATGTTCATCTTCCCATTGCATCACCTGTTCTTTTCCATTTCTGGCATAATCTGACCCAAGGCTTAAGGTTTTTGATTGGGTTTTGATTTATTGTGCATATGTAAGTGGTATATGAGCATTTCTGTGCTATGAAACGTGTGGAGATCAGAGGACACTTGCTAGAGTCTATTCTCTCCTATATTTTTTTTTATATGTATTCAGGTTGTCAGTTTTTACAGCAAACAGTTTATCTGCTGAGTCATCTCGCTGGCCCGAATTTTCCAGCACCCTAGACCTTTCAATTTTTGTCTCCAGTTTCTATTTGTTTTAAAGTTAGGAGACTAAATCATATTATTTGCTAAGGAACTGTTATATATGATACAATAATTTTAATCCAATCACAATTTTTTTTTGATGTGAACCACAGTCTCTTAAAATTGCAAAATCTTCAGCATCATTTGACTCAACATTTTATCAGGGTCACCAGGTTATTACATGCTTACATTCTAGACAATATTACCTTTAGGAGTCACCATTTCATCCTCTTACAGAAATCAGAAATAGTCACGCAAACCACACCCTTCTGTGTGCTGGTGACTAAAATACTGAGTTTGAATTGTTCTTAGCACTACTGTTGTTCCAAAGCCACTAAACCACTTTAGGAAAGCCAGAAACTGAGAAACAATGATAAAATGTTTTTATATTTGTGAAGACAGCACCTTAGTTCAATTTTTAAAGTGCTAACTAGCCATGTTACTTGAGTAGGTTCTGTAAACCTTGTGTCTTCTGAAGCAGGCAATGGAGAATCCTGTTGAGAGTAGAATTTTCAGGCTGGAGGTGTATCAGCTCAGTGGTAGAGCATGTGTTTGATGTCCAGCACCATCAGAAAGAATTAGATTTTCATTGGCAGAAGATAACATGGTAGCTACAGTATTTCACAAATAGGTACTTGCATTTCCACCCTTAGACTAGTAATGGGGATAGTCATTTTGCACCATCTGCTTGATATCCTGACCGATAAGCTCTAAGTGGATAATTTGTCACATGCTTAGTGCTTGGAATAAAGCCCTTGTGTTGTAAAGATAGTAACAACCACAGTTGTTCTGTGGGTATTAATGCTCATTCTTAGGAAGAAAACCAGCTGCCCAGAGTATCTGAGTGACTGCTGTCTAAAGCAAGGAGGGTTCTTTTTCTTTTGAGAAGTATTAGGATATATTAATCACTGCCTTCTAGCATTTAACTTTGGACCTAGAAACAATTGCATGTGCTGGAGTCTCAAGGAGTCTGCTTGTGAATCACATTTCCTGGCAGAGAGAAAACATGATGCAGTATGTGGGGAGTTTGTCTGTCTGTGTTGGAGATGAGGGTGGTGGTGAGGGATCTATTATCCATCCTCCACTTCCCGAATCTACCCCTCAGAGGCAAATGTATCCATATCTTCCATCTTCCTATCCATATCCTACACTATACAAAATAAATACAATTAAATTTCCTGCAACATTTGAAAACTGCTGGCTATATAAGCAAATGTATTTTCTATGAGTAGTTAATTTTGTGTTTGTTTGGGTTTTGATATATTGTATATATGTATGGTCTGTGAGCACTTGTATACCATGGAGTGTGTGTGGAGATTAGATCTGGAGCTTTGACAAAATGCAATTTTGCATTGCAGCAATTTCCAGTTTACGTGCTACCAAAAGTAGAGTATCAAGGTTGTTATGGAGTTGAAGCTCTGACTGAAAGCGAGCTCTGTCGCTTCTGGACTGAAAGTTTATTGCATTCCAACTGCTCGTTTTATGTTGGTGAGTCTATAGGAGTCCTCTTCCCCTTTGTAATTCCCGTTAAATATTTGCCTTTAAATTCAGCTGTGCATACTTCCATTTTGTCCTTTTTTGTTTTCCATTCTCTGATTATGTTGACAGTAGTTAAACAGTGACAGAGAGTATTAGTGAGCTTTTAAATTGATTTATACATATTTTGTAATTTTCTTACAATTATAATGACATTGTCTTAGAAATCTCATCTTGAAACAGCTTTGACTTTATTTTGGTTTTGAAGTTTTGAACAGAAGGGAGTTAGCAGGGTTTTGAATGATATTGCCAGGGTTCTTGAATAGTTAACGTGCTTTACATGACAAGTTTCTTGCTCTTGTTCGTGTTGTTCTTTCACAGTGGAATGCTACATGCTGAACATCTCTCATCCCTTGTCTTGGGCTCTGTACCAATACAGATCAGTACACCATCGGTCTGTCTGCCCTATTGACTCCCATCTCCCCCGGTCTTTCCCTTCTTTCCATCTCTAAATGTATTGTCTTTACTTGTTTGTTACTTCCTACATTATTCTTTCTTAGGTCATGCCTTTTTCCTGGTAGACAGTGCATAGTTCAAAGTAGGAGCCTGGTAAAGCTTTGTATATTCCTGGTACAAGCATTAGTCTGATGCTCTGTATGTAGTGAGTGCTCTGTATTTTCTTTCCTGATCTAGAAACAGTGGTTATTTATTTGAAAATTTGCCTCCTGTTGTTGTTTATTCTTTATATAGCAACTGAATGGCCTTAAGTTCACAATTCTGCCTCAGCCTCCCAAGTGCTGGAATTAGTCTTGTGCTGCCACCCCTGGCTAGTGTTCTAGGACTCCTTTCCATTATCACACGCACACACAGCCAAACACTTGTTTTAGTAGTTTCCATCAATAATCAGGATTCTACTGTTTCTCCAAGGCCTTTGCACCACACACATCCTTCATGTAAAGCATTTAAAAGCAGTTGCTAACCACATCTACTTGAGGAAAGGATTTTTTAAAAGTTATCAGTGAACTTTTTACAGTCCTGACAGATGATGCAGACTCATTTTCTAATGTTCCACTTAACAAATGAAATGACTACTTCACCTAAGGACTTTTTACAGGTCTTAAGTAGTTAGTACCTTGGGTTTAATTAGTCTAAAGACTTGCTCATTGATACTCCTTTCATCTTTATGTAACAGGATAATTTATATGGTTTCTGTGACACTTTGTTGAAGGACATGAGATGTTAGGGGCTTTGGGTTTTATTTTGATACAGATATGCAAGCCCATTTCTTGTTGTGCTAGGAACAGACCGCAGGTCCTGTGAATGGTCAGTAAGCACTGTACCTCTGAGCTGCACTCATAACCCAGGAACAGACTTTCAAATGCTGTTTTAAAAGTATCCATCAGGCAGGGTGTGGTGGTGTATGCCTTTTACCCCAGCACTGGAGGCAGAGGCAGGTGGATCTCTGTGAGTTCAAGGCTAGCCTGGTATACAAAGTGAATTCCAGGATAGCCTAGGCTGTTACACGGAGAAACCCTGTCTCGGGACCACCCCCTGCCACACACACACATACACAAGAAGTTTCCATCAGTATTAGAAGCTTAAAAGTGTTGTAGTACTCTTAAGAAGAATGCTCAATGAAATCACTTGAAGTGCTTGTCCTAGAGTGTCTGATTGAGTAGTCCAGAATGGAATCTGGGTCTTTATGTTTTAACACAATCTCAGGTAATAATACGGCTAGTCTCTGGCACTCTGAGAACCATCATAGCTCACAGTACAATAAACACACTTGTATTTTGTTTGTTTGTTTTCTTGCTTTGCTATATGTAAATATGCTCACCTCCTTCTCTAGATTACAGTGTCTTACCCATTATAAACCTTAAGAGTTACTTCTTTAAGAAAGCCTGTAGTCTCATCATAACTCCTCTATCTACTGTCCAGTAGATATGGTATGTCAAGCTATGATATTTATCAGATCATCGAGTGGCAGTCAGTCCTCACTTTATACAGTTCTTACAAGCATGACCTCTGTTATGGCTGTATATTAAGAGTAGAAATTGCATATAAACTACTGCCAGCTCTTCAGTCCACTAATTATGATTTAGAGTGCAGACATACATGAACAGTGACTGCCTGTGTCTGCTTTGATTGGTCACTGTGTACCTCTTAGCAATTCATATACAAAAATCAAATGTGTAGTGTGATGCCTCCTTGTCTTCCCATGGTCAGCCATAATGAGATTTTATGAGAATAGATAATAAAAACAAGAAATTGGCTAGCAAAGATTAAGATAAAGGAAAAAAAAAAGCAGAAACAGAAAACTCTGAAAAGGTAATATCGCTGGAGATTGTAATCAAACTTGCATGGAGCTGTAGATGAAGTAGCTGCCTGGGAATCTGGACACTGCTCCGGAGGCTGTTCAGTCGCTCCAGAGAAACTGTCTGATGGCTAACCTACTGACAAGAACGAGGACAGTGGTGTGACATCAGAGATGAAGTGATGCCGGCATAAGTTTTAGTTAGGGGAATTCTTGGATAGACTATGGGAGTTGATCCTAACTTAGCCAAGAGTATAGCAGTTGCCACAGCGGGGAAAGCTGCTTCTGTGTCAGAGGCTGTCTGAGAAGGCGGTGAGCACCGATCAAACTCCTCTGGGTAAAACTTTGGAAAATGTAGATCCATGCTGGTTTTGATGTTTTGAATTGCAGTATACCAAATGCATATTTTTCATATTTTATTTCTTTAAATACTTAAATTGATGGAGATTTTGTTTTGATAAAACATGTTAAAATAGTGAAATAATTCTAAATTTTCCTACTTGTTGTTACAATACATCATTTCAGCCTGTACGATTGTTTTTACAAACTTGTACTGCATGTAAAGCTAGGACTGACTACCTATGTATGGATTCTATATAAGTGATGCATGAACATAAAGGCTTAATTTCTGCTGTCTAAAGCAGTGCCTCCCAAATGTACCTCATCTTAAAGTATGATCTAAAACAGAGATTGTTATGAATAAAGGACCATGGCCAGAGCTTTCACCTTCTCTAATCTGGCTCAAGTGCCCCCAGACACTGAAAAAACTCACTTGAGTCCTCAGGTTAGAAGGTTCCAGTGTTGAGAGTTCCCTCCTTGAGGAAGCAGGCCTTCATAGAACTTAGGACAGGACTCTGTGAAGTTAGTTCTTTGGTAGACTGTATTTGCTGGGTACTATACTACATACTTTTTATGGTTGAGTTTTTTTTTTTAAAGGTAAGTGCTATTAGTAGTCTCAAATGTTTATTAAACATCAAAAATACATTATTGCATTTAATATTCTCTTTTTATATGAAACCATTGAAATGTCTTTATTATTAGAAATGTCACATATAATGAGCACTAGAAATGGAGAGGTGAAACTAAAGTTGGCATAAGAAATAACAAGTGACTGTGGGAATAAACGGATATGTTGTCTTAGAGGGAAGACATCTAGTAAAAATGTTCCTAATTAACTTCTTTGAGCATAAAGCAAATGATATTAAAGTAGGCTAGATGTTGAAATGAGATATTAAACTATATGCAATTTTTGTAGTCCCAATTACTGATACCTACTTTCTCGGGAACTTGTTTTAACAAAATTAGGAGCTAAAAGTATAAATAAATCTAAAACATTATATTCAGCATTGGTGGGTGCTACTCTTACTCTGTGATGTTTCTAACCTTCGTACAGTAGTAGTAGCATGCCCTTCCTGCTGACCCACGTGTGTAGCATTACCCTGATCAGGATCTCCTCTGTCACTTAATACATTGCAGCAGCTCAGTGCATGTCTCAGCTTATTTTGTTTTAAAGTTTGCACATTACTTTCTACAACAGAATGTAATTTTAAGAATATAATGTTTGAGATTTTGTGAATTATAGGTTTATATTAGGCATACAAGAAAATAAGACTTTGAATAGATTGCTTTACTCACAGAAACGTTTATGATTGCTTTAATTTTAAAAAATTCTGTATTATAGTCTTAAGTTTTACAGTAATGTGTTTTTGAGACTTATTGAACAGGCCCAGTCCACAGATTGGATTTTTAACTGCTTGGTTACATGGTGAGCTCATGCTTCCCTTACAATGTCATGAAGATGCAACTTTAGTGGGAACTAGAAACACCAATGGCTGAGCAATTTTTGCTCTTAAATTAAGGTTTAGAGGCAATAATCCTGTTTGGGGAATGTGGGCATGTGTCAACTTTCCTATATTCAGCATGTATTTTTAAATGAATGCATGACATAATTTGTATTTTATATCATTGTAAATTCAAGTTTACTTGATAGCTAGTGAGATATATTTCTCCTTTTAAATAATACAAAGTCCTTTATAGTTCTTTAAAAAGTGTGAAATCATCTTTATATAGAGAGACTAGTTAACTAGTTCGTTTCGTGTTATAATCTCAGTGACTTGGGTTTCTTTAAGTTCAGTGTTTTCTTTTAGGGCATATTGATGCATTTACTTCAAAGCTTTTCATGCTAGAAGAAATCACCTCAGAAGAATTAAAAGAAAAGCTTGCAGCTCTCAAGTAAGGAAGTGCTTTGTGGTGCACACTGAAAAGACTTCACTCCTGTAATGTGGTCTCAGATTTTCCTTTACCTCTAAATAGTGATGATTGATTTCTTTCAAGATCTTGAGGGCCTCCCAACCCAATTTACATTATTTGTCTCTATTTGCAAAGAAATGTACTGCTAATAACATGTCTTCCCACTTTAAAGAAAGGAGGCCAGAGCCAGAGAGTGTGTTGTATTAAAGTGCAAGAGAAGCAAACGTTCTGGCCTTGTGTAGAGAAGGGAAGGATGAGACAGCCACAGACTCTGAGCTATGGGGATTATGTGACTGATTGGACAACCAGACTTCTGAAAATTTGCCCATCCTACCAAATATTAGACATCAGAACTAAACAAGTGGTCCTCAGAACCACTCTTGAGTGCCTCATTGTAAGGGAAAATAGCTTATGCAGACTCCCTCATTTTATCATACAACTTGGCATTAAAGGCTTGTAGCATCATGGCCATTTCCTATACAGAGAAGCTGGAACTGAGAAGCTCAAACCTAGTGCAGGCTGAGCTGGGAACACAACCTTCCTGCAAAGCTCCACTTGACTTGACACAGCTCTGTGAGGGAATAATCAGATTTGACCTCTGTTTACCCCAAGTGTCTACTCTGTAAGAACTGCTTTATATGTGTGCATAGGAAAGTCATGACAGGCCGGGCGGTGGTGATGCACGCCTTTAATCCCAGCACTTGGGAGGCAGAGACAAGCAAATCTCTGTGAGTTTGAGGCCAACCTGGTCTACAGTGAGTTCCAGGACAGGCGCCAAAGACAAACAGAGAAACCCTGTTTAGGAAAAAAAAAAAAAAAAAAAAGGAAAGAAAAAGAAAAAAATCATGACATTACTAACTAACCCTTCACTTCAATGAAAGTCTTTTTTTTTAAAAAAAGAAATAATAATGGAAATAAGTTTATATGTAAATGAGGCACCAAGGAGATACCTAGATACCGAGAATAATACTTCCTCTTTCCCATGGATTAGTCTGTCCCCGCTCTGTGCTTCTGTCATTGCATGTGCATAAAGTCCAAAATTGATTATAGCTGTTCTGTATTTTTATATTGTTTCAATCATTTTTACTTATATGATTATAACTGCTCGAACACAGAGCCAAATACTTGATGAACGTGAAAAGAAGACATCTAAGTGTCTCTCCAGTCTTCTTGTTGGTTGGTCCTTGTCCTGCATTATTGGCCTGCTGGTGCCTTTGACTGTGAGCAAGAGACCACACATGTTATTAGTGAGGCTTTCTGGGTTTGTTTGTTTTTTTTTTTTCTCAGTTTAATTTCACTTCAGTTTTTTCTGTTTAATAATAGGATTTCAAGTTTATTTAACATTCTCCAGCACGTTCTAAAGAAATTATGTAGGTAAGTACTTTGGGGTATTTTGCATAGGTATTTTGATTTTCTTTTTTTGTTATTAGAAGCTTTGTCAATATGTTGTTAGAGAGAGATGAAAACACTAAAAGTGTATAAGTCTTTTATCATTTAAAATTCTAAAAATATGAGTAAAAAGATAACATGATATTGTCTGGTTGTAATGAAATGGCAAATGTATTTATCTCATGCATATTTCTCTCATACACACACAGACATACACACAGTACATGCTCTCTCTCTTCACACACGCACACATCCTTACTGTAATAGCCCAGTTTGACTTCAAACTTCTAAGATAACATGAGTTTCATTGACTAGAAACTCAATATTTGACGCACTATTTATTCTTTCTACCAGACAGTCATTTGCTTCCCTATGTGAAAGTGATGAGAGAGGGAAAGGCCTTCCTAGAAGCTAATAATAGTTCTCTGGACCTCCTTTATCAGCACCAGTCACTTTGAGTTTTAAAAGTTGGTGAAAAGGTAGCTCATTATGTCTGTAGGCAGAGCTATATAACTAAAGCTGATCATCTTCATTTTAATAATGTGGACAAAAACTGTTCTCTTTGCTCCTTTGGCCTAGAGATTGTGTATTCCCAACAAAACATGGTCTACTGCCCCATGCCTTTTGTTATTTATGATGATGCGGTGAATCCCTTGAAGCTTTCCAGTAAGCAAAGAAAAATGTAGTAGATTGGCCATCATCAGTTATTGTATTAATAGAGGATTGTGATTGAGGCTCTGACCTGTGTGCAAACCAAAAAAGCCAGGCTTTATTGAAGCCTTACTGTGCACAGAACTGTGGACAGATTGCTTAGCATCTCATGTTTATTTATGCCTAATTTGGAGTTAAGCTTGAACCCCTGTGTGAAGGATTTAATATGAAGGTGAGTAGTGGGGCAAATAGCAGTTAACTCATAAGCACACAAGCCTGCTCTACTTTCTACACTTTTCCTACATGTTCCTTCGCCTGTTTCTGACATGTCACATGTATCCTTTTTGTGTTTCTGTTCTCTTGCCTATTAGAAACCAAGTACACTGAATGAATGAAATATATGGTTGGAGTATATCATAGATTAGAGAATTAGATGGACTGTTTTTTTCCATTAAGTGATTGACTTTTACAAATTTATAAAGTAGTGAAAAGGAAATGGTCAGATATTTCTGAATTTTGGAATAAAAACGCTAAAATTTATTGTTGCGGAGGTATAGTTTTAAAGGCTTCTGAAATCTTTACCTTTCCTGGTTCTGAAATACTTTCAGAGGTGGCATTCTCTTCCTATGGTAGCTCCGCTTTGCTATGTGGGGTTAGGAGAACATGGTGACATTGGCAATATAAGCTCAGTGAGTTGAGTCTTCCGTGTTGGATGCAGCTTGCAGGATGGGTCCTACTTGCTGTCTCACGCAGCAGAAGATTCTTCACTCCTGATCTACAAGACCTCAGATGGAAAAGTTACTAGGACAGCGTATAATTTGCATAAAGCGCATTGTGACCTTCCTGGCATACCTTCCAGTCTCTCGGTTCCTTGGGTTCCATTAGATCCCAGTTACCTGTTACCATATCACATCCATCATGGACGAATTCCGTGTACTTTTCCGCCTAAATCACTGCGCCCTGTAGCACAACCAAAGGTAAGATCTTTTTTATGATTTATATCCTATTTGGTTGATGATTACTAATCTGTTTCTCTGACTCCCTTCAATGGATATCTGCATTTGCCCTGTTAGCCATGTAGCATCTGAAACCTGTGTCTGTATTGTAAGTAGAACTTCCTTTCTTATAAGTTTTATAAATCAGCTAAGAAAATCTCTCCTAACTTGCTGTATGTGTGCATGCATGAGGCATTTATGAAGTTTAGTGCCTGGGTTTTTGCCCAAAGCAAATTTGTATTTTCCTAGTTCTGATTTATGTATATCCTTTTCCATTAAACAATTAAAGCAATTTGCAAAAAGTCCATGTAATAAAATTATGATATAATAAAAAATCCTTAGTAATATGGTGAAATATTTAAAAGTATTAGTAATTAGTGAGTAAAGTGGCTTATTAAAATATAGTAAAATATTAAGAGCTAAGTTGTATTATGCTAAGTATTTTGTAACTTGGGGTTTATTGAATTATTATTAATGTTATACTCATTATAAAACACTCTGGAAACGTCAGTTGAATAGCATTTTTTCTTTTCTTTCTTTTTTTTTGGGGGGGGGGATCTTCAGAACAGGATTTTCTGTGTTGCTCTGGCTGTTCTGGAACTTGCTTTGTAGACCAGGTTGGCCTTGAACTCTCAGCGATGCACTTGTTTCTGCCTCCCAAGTGCTGGGATTAAAGGTGTATACCATCATACCTAGCTGAGTAGCATTTTTTTATTGAGCTATATATTTTTCTCTACTTCCCTCCCTTCCTCTCCTCTCCTCTTCTACCCTCTCCCATAATCCCCATGCTCCCAGTTTACTCAGGAGATCTTGTCTTTTACTACTTAACATGTTGATTATATTCTCTTAGGGTCCTCATTGTTCTAGGTTCTCTGGGATTGTAGGCTTTGCTTTATGTCTAAAAACCACTTATAAGTGAGTACATACGATATTTGTCTTTCTGGGTCTGGGTTACCTCACTCAATATGATGTTTTCTAGATCCATCCATTTGCCCACAAATTTCAAGATGTCATTTTTTTTCTGTTGTGCAGTACTCCATTGTGTAAATGTATCATTTTTCCTTATCCATTCTTCGTTCGAGGGGCTTTTATGTTGTTTTTAGATTCTGGCTGTGACAAACAATACTACTATGAACATAGTTGAGCACATGTCCTTGTGGTATGATTGAGCATCTTTTGGGTATATACCCAAAAGTGGTATTGCTGGGTCTTGAGGTAGGTTGTTTCCTAATTTTGTGAAAAATTGCCATACCGATATCCAAAAGGGCTGTACCAGCTTGTACTCCCACCAGCAGTGGAAGAGTGTTCCCTTTACCCCACATCCTCTCCTGCATAGGTTGTCGTTAGTGTTTTTGATCTTGGCCATTCTTACAGGTATAAGATGCAATCTCAGAATTGTTTTGATTCTCATTTCTCCTATGGCTAAGATGTTGAGCATTTCCTTAGTGTCTTTCACCAATTTAGATTCCTCTGTTGAGAGTTCTCTGTTTAGGTCTGTATCCCATTTTTTATTGGATTATTTGTTCTTTTGATGACCAATTTCTTGAGTTCTTTGTATATTTTGGAGATCAGCCCTCTATCCCATGAGGAATTGGTGAAGAACTTTTCCCATTCTGTAGGCTGCTGTTTTATCTTGTTGCCTGTGTCCTTTGCTTTATAGAAGCTTTTCAGTTTCAGGAGGTCCCATTTATTGTTTCTCTCAGTGTCTGTGCTACTGGGGTTATATTTAGGAAGTGATCTCCTGTGCCAGGCATTTGCTTTTTAAACCTGGAATATGAAGCCATGACTGCAGATACTCTCTATGATGTCTCTCTACCATGCCATGATTCTTTATGTCATCAGTTTCAGTTTGAACTTAGCTGTAGGAGGGGGAACGTTGGGGAATATTATTTTCAGATGTGTGATTTTTGTTTACGCTGCATTTGTTTAACTCTGTGAAGCTGTGTTACTATACCTAAACACCTGATGGTCCTAATAAAAAGATGAATGGCCAGTAGTGAGGCAGGAGCAAGGATAGGTGGGGCTGGCAGGGAGAGAGTGTAAATAGAAGGAGAAATCTGGGACGAGAGAGAACGAGGAACAAGGAGTTGAGAACATCAGGGACTAGCCACCCAGCCAATCATGGAGTAAGAGTGAAAGTAAGATATACAGAAGTAAGAGAATGGTAAAAGTCCAGAGGCAAAAGGTAGACAGGTTAACTTAAGAGAAGCTGGCAAGAAACATGCCAAGCTAAGACTTGAAAAAATGAACTTAGCTGTATAAAGAATTTTGCTGTTTGCAAATGAACCTACATGTTCATTAAATAAAAACTAAGTGTATTTGCCTACCCTGTTGCCCAAATACCTTTGAGCCAAATTACTGAGTTCTTTGTTCTCTGTACAGTTCCCTGGGAGCTCCTATAGATGCACATGTGTGTCCTGTGAACACTCCTTCCTTTCTCTGTTATGTCCAAGTAGTCTGTAAATATCCCCAAGCCCTTTTGAGAAAATAGTTCTTCCTACAAATACCAAGGACTTTAATTGTTGATGTTGATTTTATTGTTCCTATTGTCTAGGATTATACTTGCTGTTTAGTTCTCCACCTTGATATCATCGTTTGAGAAAATGGTTCTATTCATTTGCCAATATTTTCGTGCTGGAGACTGAAGCCAGGCCCTGTGCATGTTAAGCAGGCATTTTACCCTGAAACACCTTATCCATTCCTAGTAAACTCTGACGAGAAAGTATAAGTGCAGCAAACTAATTGAGAAAATGAAAAATGGAGAAAGTTAGCACTGTGTTTATCTTCAGTTTTGCTATTTTTAGTTTCTAAATACTCTTTTAAGTAGTGATTTTTTTTTTAATAATCTAAGGAAATGTTTTGTTGGTGGTGATGGTTTTTCAAAACATGGTTTCTCTGTATATCTCTGTCCTGGAACTCACAGAGATCCGCCTGCCTCTACCTCCCTGAGTGCTGGGATTAAAGACATGCACCACCACTAGCTCTAAGGAAATTTCTTAAGTCACTTAAAAATAATTGAAATTTTTTTGAAAATATGTATTCTAAAAGGACAGTTTTCTTTTAATTTAGAAACAGTAATTATAGTCTGTCAAGTATAACATATAATTCTGTACGGGGGTGTCTCTTATTCCTTTTTTGTGAAAATGAATGGTTTAATACCTTGGAACTGAACAATTTTAAGCTGAAGAAAACATTTATGTAGGATGTCTTTTAAAAGAAATGAGTGATAATGTTGTACTTTATTGGTACAGACTGACTTCAAACATTGAATGCTTATGCCTTAGAAATACCTGGAAGTTTTGACTTTTTCAGTAGAGTGGTCTAAATGTGCTGCAGTGTAATAAGAAAATTCATTTGGACAATTGGAGAAATTCTGTGTGCTCAGATTCGAACACATATGTCTACATTCTAACAATTCAGCCATTAGTATCATTAGACATTGTCCAGTGCAGGGACTATTGCATAGTCCAGCACTGGGGGCATAGACATTTAGATAACCAGTGTTGCCTTGGTGTGTTTTGAAAGTCAGGAGAAACCCTCCCACCACACCTAGTCTTTTATAGATGCATATGTGTATATCCTGAACACTGTTCTTTTTTCCTTTCTCTGTTATACCCAGTTAGTTAGTAAACATCCCCTAAGAAATAGCTTTTCCTACAATTGCTGAGGACTTTTTAATTGTTGATTTTTGTTGTTGTTCACATTGGATAGGATTGTATCTGCTGTGCAAGTTCCCCGCCCTGATGCTCCCTGCCTTCCTAGCTGGGCCATGGAAACAGGACTTTATAATTCCAACCAAGCTCAGCACCTGTGGGATTCTAGCCTTAGCAGACACGTGGAAATACCAGAGCTTTCTGAAAACTGGGAAGTCGGAGCCTGTATGAAACAGCTGTTTACATCTTCTTCTGGGGTAGCCTCGCCTTGCTGTGATCTTCCATCCCTAGTGCTCTTGAACCAAGTGCTCATCCCTAGACAGGGCCTGCAGCCCTGACCCCTGATACATACGTAGTAGACCTGTGCTGCCTCCTAATGTACCAAGCAAGAGTAGGACTGCAGAATCCCATCTGTTCCCCTTCATCACCATAAGTTCCATAATAGACATTTACTGGACACTCAATACAGTTTTCAAAGTATTTGCCATTCTCAAAAACCCAGTTAATGAGTACTTTCAGGGAAAATCCCCACAGAGTGGGGAGGTAGCAGGCATCTGAGAGTCAGTGTGTACTGGGCATAGATGCATGAGCATCAGAGAACAGCAGACACACTGCTGACTAAAGCTCCGTATGCCCCCACTCTAGTCATGTCATGTAAAAATAAACCCTAAAAGTGTACATTCTTAGAGAACCACAGTGCTGGCGCTTCATTGGTTGGGCTAGACAGTGAGAGAGTGAGTTTACATCACCACTGCCCTTACCCTCCCCTCTGCAGGATTGACTGCATGGGACGTCCAGAAACAATGCCTTTGTGAGGTGGCTAGGGGAACTGTGGCAGATATAGGCTGCTTTGTAGAAATGGTTGCAGGCTGTACAACTTTGGTCCTGTATGAGGTCTCTAAGTGGCCAGGAAGGTGACAGCAGGACTCTTGATTAGTAGGCTGTTCTTCTCTCCGAGACTGTGGGAGCTGGGTGCAAGCTGGAGCAGGCATGAGGGGAGCTGGCATTCCTCTCAGCTATGCCCGTCTCTTCCTCTTACTGTTTCTGTTGGTGTCCTGTTCTCCTTCCTTCCTCAGTGCTCTTTCTTCTCAGTTTCTCCCCCTTTTCTTTTACATGTTTTTATTTCTTCCTTTTTAGACTTTTTCTTACCCTTTATCTGTTACATCGTCTTATCTTCTTGCCTTGCCATTGTACTCTCTTTTGTCTTTCTACCCCTTTTCATATCCTCTCCCTATCTTCACCTTTCTCCTTTCTTCCTTGCCCTCCCACAGAACTGCACACTTTCTCCAAGGGTCTGGCCTTCCCTCACTTTCTAATTTCACCTTTCAGCATCCACGCAAATCTAACAGCAATTTATAGCAGAGCCCTACTCCAGCTTCTTTCCTCATTGCTTTTAAAACTGAGTCAGATTAAAATGTCTTAAATAGCCACGTGGCTGGGACTTAAAAATGTACAAAAGGTCATTCCCAAATTGAGAGTCTCTGTGTAAATGATACAGGGTTGTTTGTGTGCAAGCATGTTGTGAATGTATTAAGTTGTTCTGCTCTTGCTCTATCTTTTAGGTTGGTGGGACAAGAATTCCTACCCATAGCCACAGGAATCCAGTTTCCATGGAAACCAAAAATAGTTCCCTGCCAGTTCAGCAAGTTGAAAATGAAGGAGTGGCTCAGAATAAAAGGAAAATAACATAAGGTCTGGACCATGGAAAATGAAGTTTCAGAAAAACCAGTTGTAACTGTTTTTAATGTTGAACTATGAGAGAAAATGTGCCCCCCCCAAAAAAAAAAATCAGCAAGAAGAGTGTTTCCGTTGCTATCCTGGAGTTCGTACAAAGTGCCTTGAAACCTGACTGCAGGAAAGTCAGTGACAGCAGTAGTGTCCCTCCTCCTCTCTGGTGCATGGAGAATACAGAATGCTCCATTTGCATAGAAGCAAACTGAATAAGAAAAATATTTTTATAGTATTCTTTTCTAAAGATCATAGGTAGGAAAACCACTTGCTGTTTTAGGAACTGTCAGGTATTATGTTAATAATTTGATTATATTGCCAGTCTAATGAGACTGGCCAATTTGCTTAAATGTTGCCACTGTTAGAAACAGCTGTGTGCATTGTTTACGGCCCATTTTTGTCAGTATTAACACTACCGTTGATGTGTTTGAAAACCTGTTGAAATTCCATTGTGGACGTCGGAAGTGAAAACAAGGAAGATCTCTATGTCTGAAAAGTGGCAAATTAATATTTTCCTGCTAGGCAACCACACATGTGTTTTACAAAAACACTAGCATTCTGTGGTGCGACAGCTTTGGTGACAGTGCCTCTGTAACTTTGCACAAATTTCTTCTGAGTGTGGTGAAACACTGCCGAAAGCAAAGACATCTGAGGGTGCAGGCATTCCAGGGAAGCAAGCTTGTTCATTCCATCAGGCATGGGTAAAGTGCCATTAATTCTAGGATTTTTTTCTTTTCTTTTTGTCTCATTTATTCTGATTCATTCAGAAAGCATCATCAGTAGTGGGTATGGCCAGTTTGGGTTTGAAGGGACAGACTTGTTCACTTTTTTTTTTTTTACCTATTTTTTAATAAACACTAAAAGTATCAGAAATGTGTTTGCCATATCATAAATAAAATATTTGTAATCCAAAGACAATTTTCATGTTGTTTTTTTTTTTTGGGGGGGGGTGTTCAATGGATATTATACCCAAAAATCAGGGTCTAAAGAAATGGCTTATTGCAGAGGCCCAGGTTTGATTCCCAATCACATGGCTGACCTGTAGTGAGAAGGGAACCACTTGTTGGTTTCCGGCTACTTAGCCCTGAAATAATCACACAGAAGCTGTCTTAATTAAATCACTACTTGGCTCTTTAGCTCTAGTGTCTTATTGGCTAACTCTTACATATTAATTTAACCCATTTCTATTAATCTGTGTATCACCACATGCCTGTGGCTTACCTGCTAAAGTTCTGGTGTCTGTCTCTGGACGGGGTTACATGGCATCTCTCTAACTCCGCCTTCCTCCTCCCATGCTATAGGCCAAGCCAGTTTCTTTATTCATTAACCAATAAAAGCAACACATAGACAGAAGGACCTACCACAGCACTGCCCACAGCCATCTAAAACTCCAATTCCATGAGCTCAGATGACCTATTCTGGCCTCTGTGGATACCGCATGTATGTAGTATATATATACATTTTGACAACATAAAATAAAATTGTCTAATTAAAAAAAAGACATAAATCTGCTAAAATATCTTAAGCTGAAATTTTTGTTTTGAATTGATTTTTCTGAGGAATTGGTTGCCTAATTATTAGTACATACTACTTGTATATTTGTTTTGTTTTGTTTTGTTTGAAACAGTCTCTACATAACTCTGGCTGTCCTGGAACATAGAAATCACTTGCTTCTGCCTCCTGAGTTCTGGGATTAAAGGTATGCACTACCACATCCAGCTTCTGAATGGATTTTAATATATCATTCCCTCAATCTGCTACTCTCCTTTTAAAACACTTAGCTTTCCTTTGTTAACTTGTTAACTTTGTCACTTATGCATTTATCCAGAAATATCTTAGTGTTGACTCATTTAACATTCAACTTGGGAGTGTCAGGTATGGGGTCCCTTTGGAATTAGCTCTTTTCCAAAGTTGGACAGTGCTTGCTGCAGTCTAAGTGTCAAAGGCTTTACCTTGGCTGCGTCTGTCTACAAGTGATTATTTTCTAATTATTAGACCTATAAACAATTCTGATCACACAGAACTTGTTTTCCACTGTGCTTAACAAAGGCTCTTTTTAAACACATATTTGATGTTGTCTTTTGTTCTTTACTTTTAGCATAAAGAATTTGTAAGCAAAGTAGTGATGTCAATAATACTATAGCAAAGTCTTTGTTGTTTTTAATACATGCTGGGGCTTAGACATCAGAGTACTCACCTAACATGCCTGTTGTGACCAAAGATTCTGTCTAGATGCATAGGAAGGAAAAAGAGATATTAGGTATTATAAACCTAAACCTGGCTTATTTCTTTTGTGTGAAAGTATAATTTATGTAAACATCTTAGAAAACAAGTTCAAGAATTTGACTACAGCATTGTGTCATGAAATGTCACTAGGTCACCGTTGTCTCTGTCACATTGAGACTTCACAATATTGTTTACTTGACGGTAGACAATACTGTTATCTCTGGAGGGACAACATATATTTTTTCACCACTAAATAGCAATACCTAGTGTAGTATAGTATAGTAATCAAGGATAGATGGCTACATGAGACAACATCTCAAGTCAGATTTTTCTTCTCCTTGTAGGCGTGCATTCTAGTAGAGAAATTTGTGTGGTGAGTGCTCTAATAAGTCATTTTTAAAAGTCATCTTGGGCTGGGGGACAGCTCAGTAGAGAACCTGACCTTGCATACTTGAGACCCTGAGTTCCATCCCTGCCCCTACAAAAAACAAAAAGACATTAGCATATAACTAAGTCCTGATAATTAAGGAGGGAGTTTCTGAAATGAAACCTGAGCTAGTTGTTTGGGTTTTTTGTTTGCTTGTTTGTCTGTTTTTTAATGAGTAGGAGTTAGAGAAGGGAAAAGCTGCAGAATATGAAAAGGTGAAAGGTGGCCCAGAACCCAGGCTGTGAACATGAAGATAACCGAGCAAGCTATAGTTCAGACGCTGGGATCCTTCCCCACACAGCGTGGAAACCTGTGAAGTTTAAGAAATAAGTAATGTGTCTAAAAGCGACTTTTGTCGGCCTCTGTCTACAGAATGCACTGGGGAAAGGTGGATATTGTACGGTAGGAGTTGAAATTGGAAAAGGCCCTGAATTAACAAATCAGCAGTGTCTAACAGGTATAGCTTACCTAAAAGCATCCATAATGCTGGGACAATGGTGGTGTTATTCACTGGAAAAAAAGGAAAGTGTTTAGAGAGGGAAGAAAGTAGACTGTTGCTTTAGCCATTTCTTCTCTTGGACTCTGACTTCAGATGCTTTGTTGCTGAGTGTTAGTCACCTAATAAGGCATGCCTGGATGACAGACTTGTCTCAAGTCCCCAGGAACCAAAGTCCAGGTGCAGCTCAGCTTACCGCCCCAAGCTCTAGGGCTCCTCTGTTGTTACAGTCATGTTGATTGCAGACATCCACTTCCTCCAAGCCAAGGTTCATATACGTCTATGCAGGTAGAAGGCCTTGGTTCTTCTGTTGCTGGCCATGGGCTCTTTTTGTCTGGACTTCTGTGTAGTGCAGCCCTAATGTCCTCACGACACAGCAGCCTGAACACCCAGGCCTTAGCAGCCCCAGAAGGGAACAAGGAAGCGATGGTGTCTCAGAGGTCAAACACTGACTTCTGCCATCTTCTGGTTAGAAACAAGTCACTAAGTCACAGTCTGGAATGCCAGCTCTGAGGTTAGGAATTACACAAAGACCATGTGAACCTGTTGAGCCTTGTGGGGAAAAATGTGAAATAGGCATCCCATTTAGGAGTGAGTAATCCCTGTCCTCTTATTCTCTGCACACGGACCAGCACCGGGTCTCTTGTTTATTGCCATCTGCTGCAAGAAGTAGCTTCTCTGATGAGGGTGGAAAGACAGATCTATAGGTATAGCAATAAGTCATTAATTAGGAGTCTTTTTTTATATACTAATATGTCCATTTAGCAGAACAATGGTAGGTTCTTCCCCTAGGACCTGTGACTTATCTAGCCATAGGTTCTTAGCCCTATTAACAGTGGCAGGTATGGGTTCTAGCTCATGGAGTGGGACTTAAATCCAATCAGATAGTAGTTGGTTATCCCTGCAGGATTCATGCACCAGTGCTACATCTTGCCAGGATAGTAGTTATGGAAACTTACAGGTATGAATCTATTTTTAAACCACCATACATGCCATGAACACATTTAGGGGGTATACAAGAATTAAACTTAGTGTGTAGAAAGAAAAGAATGACCTCTTTAAAAAAAAAAAAAAAGAATCACTATCTTAGCCCCTAGGAGCCTAAGGCAGGAGGATTTATGAGTTTGAGGTCAACATGGGCTGAATAGCAGGACCCTGATTCAAAAGATGTCAGTTACTATCAACACATTAAATTTGAGATAGAAGTTACTTGTGTTGTCTTAAATATTTGAGCTCAATTCAAATAAGCCACATCAGTACAAATTTCAGAGTCACTAGTGTATCTGTGGTAATTGAAATTGGAGCAAAGGGCAAGATGAATGAAACGGGACATTTTGGTTGCACTACATGGTGTAACCAAATAGAGAATGGTGGGAGCATATCACCAGGGCTGTCTGAAAGGAGTACCAGGTCCAAGAAAATATGAACAGTGAATGATTATGGTAATCATTTGTAATCCTCTGAATAAAATAGTAGTTCAAGAGTCCACACTAACCATAAATGAATATGGTTACATATTCATACAATACAAACAGGAGGGGGCCATTCAGTTCCACAGTGGGCAAACCGACAAAAGGAATGATAGAGTTAGAAAAATCACCCATTTGTAATCCTAGAGTCATTATTTAGCAGTCAACAGATATTGAAGTTAATGAGAGTTTGGTGAAAAATGGGAACAATTATATAGTCTTACTTAAAGAATCACCCCGGAAATTGTTTATTATTTTGTGAATATAGTGTGTTTATCAGTGTACTTAGAATTGAAGAAACTGTCCTAAGACAGAACACTGTCACTAGTAAGATACAGGAACACAGCAGGTGTGTTTCCTAGTTTGCTTCAGGAGAAAGTAGCGTCAAGTAATGTGGCATTTTCCTGGCATAAAGGTGTCCATCATGAAGAGACACCCAGAGAAACCAAACCAGAGACAGTCTATAAACAAGTGGTTGGGGATTTTC